TATTGAGAGTTTCATCTTATTTTGCCAGCAATCCCAGGGGCAAATGCATTTGAATTTGCTGTGAGAAGTAATTCTTGTCAAATGCATGGGGGTTGTTAGAGATGTTGATGAGGCTACGGAACTTATTCACTGCTTCCTCTTTCTGGAAAGAGGGACAATGGCAGTCTATATTGGAATCCTATTGTGAGTAAATTGTTTAAGAAAATAGCTCAAAAACATAATATTCATGTATAACTTGCATAGTATTTAAACTCTAACCCCCAGGATCTAACAATAGGGTAACTTAAAATATAAACATATTTAATGTAATGGAAAAGGCACAGTAGTGCTGAGTATTTTGGCTAATGTTCATAAAATATTAAAATCACAGACTTTAAAGTGTCCAGCTAGGCTCTAAGTGCCCAATCCCAGTAAAGTCTCCTCAAATTATGGTAAACCACGCTTTGTTTTAAGATGTTCACCATTTCCCTTGCTTGATTGCACCATTGTTTTCCCTAACATTCAGACAGTATTCCATTTTTCATTCTAGGTTGATAAGGAACAGCCTTGAATATCTCTATAGCATCCTTCTAGGTTGCTAAAAAGAGCTATTCTATTGCTTCTCAGCTGAATCTTCTCTCAACGTTAAATATACCCAGTTCCCATGATCTCTTCCCACAGGACTTATTTCTGGCCCCATCTTTCTTCAGTTTTTTTTCCTGACATTTTCTTAAAATATGTTACCTGGTATGAGCACAAATGGGGTAGGATATAGACAAAGTACAACATATAAGGGAACAGTTACTATTTATGATTTGGAATCCTGTGATCTGAGCAAAAATGGCATTTGCCTTTTTAGAAGCTAGGACCCCTTGCTTATTCATTTTCATCTTGAGATTAGCTATAATTCCAGTTTGCAAATGTACTGTTTTTGGACTATGCTATATCTCTGCATTTGATTTCTTTTTCCAAAGTGAACAATTTTGCATTTGTCTCTCTTAATTTTTCAGCCTATTATTTTCAGTCTATTCCTCTAATGTATCACAATCACTTAATTTTATTTCTAGAGTATTAACTACTAATTTTGTGTCATCTGCAAATTTGTTAAGCATTCCCTCCACCTCTTTATTCGATTCATTAATAAAAATGTTGAAGAGGACAAGTCTGAACTTTGTGACACCCCACTCAGTGGCTCTCTTTCGTTTGATGAAAAAATGTTGATGAGCATTCTTTGAATAGAGTTTTCAAACCAACTATATTATTGTCATTTCAATCCACCATTTAACTGTGTATCAGACATAAAGTCCAAGGGTATTCTGTCAAATGCTTTGCTAAATAGTTCTACAGCATTTCTCCAATTTGTTAAGGAAATGAAGTTTAGCCTGGCAACATATGTTCTTGGCAAATATTTACTGACATCTGGTAATTCATATATTGTTTTAAAGTGCTGACAGATTAACCTCTTTATGGTTTCAGTGTTATATGGTCTGGTCTCTAGCTCCTGGATCTTCCTTTTTCCCTCTTCTGAATAAAAGCAATGACCCTCCTCCTCCAATTATCTGAAATTTCAATTAAGACAAACATAAAATTTGGCAAGACTATTAGCAATTTCTTTCAGGACACTCAGATGCAATTCCTATGGCTTTGGGGGGTTGTACTCATTCAAGTTCAGTATGTTCTTCCAGATCACATTTTAATCAAACATCCTGTAGTTCAAAATTTCTTAGTGGGACACATTTAAACAATACTAAACAATAACAGGAGTTGAATAATCCCATGCTTATTTTATCATTTGCAATATATCCTTTTGTTTTGTTCACTCTTGCATGCGCTTCATCATTAGAACAAAACATGGCTATGATAGAAGATCACTGGAATGCTCTGCAATCAATCCATGCCAATCTATCTAAAATAAAAGGTGCATAAAAATGGTACATGCAATAACTTTACAGGGTGTTGAGTGCTTGCCAACTACCAAATGCATAGAGCACTCTTTACATGCCACAGAGATGTGCATGTTTCGTGATCGTTAGGTGTTTCTCTTTCTGATCATGTCAGCAATGACACAGTACAGCAGCAAATGGGCATTGCATCAATATTTAAGAAGATATGAGTGAAACACCTACAATGATATGGTCATATCCTACGAGAAGCACCTGACACTGTTGCCTGCATTGCCTTCCAACACAGATGGCAAGCACCTGCATGGAAGGCCAAAGATGGCAAAACACAGTAAATCCAGCCCAGTTGGACTCAGATGCTGCATTTGATCATGCAAAATGGAGTTTGTCGACCCCAAAAGATGATGATATATCCTTTTACCATATTCACTCTTGAATGTAGCTGAAGAGCCCCTTTTTGTTGTTTGTAGCATCCTTCTACAACCTCTATTCACTCTTCAGTTCAGAGTTTCTGCCTACAACTGTTTTAAGCTGAAAGGAAGTAGATTTTGCTTAGATATGAGAAATGTTTCCTAATGATAAGAACTGTTTAACAATAGATCAAAGTAGTCTGAAAGGTGGTGGAAGCTCCTGCACGGGAGGCCTTTAAGCAGAGGCTCAGTGGATGTCTATTTGTCAGGGCTGCTGTAGTAACCTGTACTATACTGGACAGATTGTTTCCAAGATTGCTTCCATTCTGTGGCTCTCTGCTAAGGACAGTCTTTCCTGGTAATTTTTCTATAATAGAATACTGATCATTATGACCTGGAAACTGAGTAGAAGTGATAATGGCTATTACAGGTTCCATTAGAATGTGGATTATTAATGTTTGGCGATATTTCATTGTGAGGGGATTAATGTGCTTCATTTAGTGTATGAGAAAGACATGCAGCAACAAAAGTATAAAGGAAGCCATATGCTAGCTTTCATTAGCTGTGCATTACTGAGGAATGAAAAGCAGAGGTGTTATTAAGGAAAAAGAAAGTTTGTATTGTCCTGATAATAACAATACTATGTGTGGAAGTGAGATAATCCTGGCAAAATATAATGTTATGAATTATAACATTGTGAAGATTTGTCTACATTTTGATTTTGCTGTATGCCCCTAGAATAAAGAATTTTATCCCAACTCTTTATTACCTGTTTCAGAATAGATTTCTGCCAAGGGCTGATATATTATTTTAGATGGTTTGGAAAAAGATTTGCAGGTACTTAGATCCAAAGACATTTAACTGTATTCAGGAGATTTGACAGAGAGAGAGAAAATGTTACTTTTCAGTCATACATATAGCATTCAGATAACCTTGTTTTGTACTTTAAAAAGAATATAATAGCTATTCTAGTGAGTTCAGAATAAGTTAATTTCTTGAGTTCTATTGTGAAGAGAAGGGAAGGAAAGAAGTATGCAATACAGTATCAAATAGTTGTTGCTATTCATCCTGCATAATCACACACAATACATGCAAACATGTTGCTCAAAGCTTCTGAAATTCTGGGCAGTGGTTTGTTCTAATGATGATTCATTTAAAGTACCAGGCTATCAAATCCTGGCTTGATGCTGTCTCTAATGTTGGTAAGAGCAGTTGAAACAAACAACAATTCACCAATTTCATCTATTGAACTTTGCTTGAAATAAGAATTTTATCTGTCAATTTTGTTGAGGTCTTCAAAATGAGTTCATTTTTTGGAGAAAGTAACACGAACGAGTTTCCATTAAAAACAAAACAGCTAAAATGTTTGCAAAAGGATGCCTCTGAGCCATTTGATATGTTCTCGAACCATCCTTAGATGTGGAAACACTGCAATGCAGAAATAAGAGCTGCTGAAGTAATGTTATTGGCACAATCATTGACTTAAAATTAATTGATGGCACTATATCTTTATTATGTGGAAAGGGCTGTGTAAGGATAATATCCATCTGGAAAGCTAGCAACTGATTTTCCCCCTGACTAAAATATGTTTAGATCAGGGAAAGTAATTTATTTAGATCCTTAAAAGCATGAAAGTTTTGGGGGGTTGTGGAAACATGACCTTAATTGATTAATTTGCTCTCTGTGAAGTGTTTTTCTTAGGCTTTATACAGATGGAAAATATTTTAAATTTTATTGAGACATTTGGGAAAGGAGTGGAGAGATTTTGCATTGTCCAGATCTATTATATTAGAGCTCATATAAATTTAGTTTTCCAATCTTTCTCTGCAAAAAGAAAAAAAAACTATGAAAGGGAGGGGGCAATACAGAGGCCACCTTGACAGTAATGAACATATCTTGATTTGCCAAATTTTTCATACTAAAAACTTTTTGTTTGGGGATGCCTGCTGGTGGCATATTTTTGGAGGTTTGACTGACTGTGCTAAAATAGATTTCAACCCATGTCTCCTCGTTATTTTACCTGAATATTAATCATTTTCATGTTAATGGCATCAAAACTGTTTGGAGACAGTGGGTTTTCCTTGTGGAATTGCTCTAGAATTTCTTGCCAATGGAAGCCTTCCTCCAAATGTGAATAGAAGACATGTGTGTGTATAGGAGAAGGAGCATTCAATTCTGATTGGAGCCACAGGAGTTTTTAAGGACTGAGACCCTTTCAGACTCCCAGTTGTGGCTATACAGCAACAAAAATCAGTCATAAGATTAAACTACAAGAGAAACATTGGCTAAAAATGCTATTGGTAAAAACATGAAAAAATTGTGGATTTTTTTTACATTTAAGAGTGAAGTATACCAGAAGTACATTTTATTATGCTTCCATTTTTGTGTACTGGAATTACCTCTGTACAAAAGTCCAAGCTGCCTTCCACTGAAATTGGCTGGAAAAATATGTGGTGTGATTGAAATATCGCCTTTGTTTAGAAATACTTTAATAAACCATGGCTATTTTTAACTTTAATTAGGGTCTTAAATGTGTTTATAATTTATATTTATTTATGGCTTATGAATTAGACACCAAAAAGAAAAACTTAGCAAAAATAAGTGCATCTGCTTTGCAATATAGTCCGGGGTGTTACTCATGGTATATGGTTTCTTCATTCAGGTCTGAATCTGATTTGTATGTATTTTTCTTTTCCTTCCTTTTCTCTAGTGGCAGATGAAAGTAAAGTTGCCTTATTGGCTGCTCAGAAACTAGGTAAGATATTTTTTTCCTAGTTTTATCATATTTTGCAATTAAAATATTATATAAAATAGAGAGTCACTTAAATCCTATTCAAGATGAATCTCTAATCTGTAATGGAAAATTAAGCTTTTTTTGTTTCTGGGATATTGACTGAAAATTGAATAATTTGCAAAAGCAGCAGTAGCATGGCTTTTTAATTAAAAACAATTATGTGTGCCAAGTAAACAGTTATAGCTAAAAAAAGCCATTTAAAAGGAGACTAGGGAGGAAAGGAAAATCATGGTGAAAGTGGTAAGGAGTTTCATTAGGAGCTCATTGCTTTTGTTGTTGTTATTTAAGT